AATAAGGGTCAGTTGGTTGGTGAATGAATAAAATTATACTTACCGCTCGAGCAGCTTCCTCAACATGATACGATAAATCGTTTTCCATATTACAACTATTCCTCTTTGAAAAAGAAAACGCTCAGAAAATGAAACCAAAAAAGGATCAAAATGTTTCTTATTACTAGCCGTTTTGAGGTTAACTTTTCCGTGTCACGTGTCATGTGTCACGGCACAAAACATGACGTAGATGTCACAGCGACACATTTTAAACGTCAAAAGAATTCGGTGTAGAGTGTAGAGATGTGCGTAGCATCTTTTTCAGGGGATGGAGTTGAAGTGAGAATCTGTTTGAATCCCGCATCATCGATTTCTGTCGCTAACTTGCGTTTATACCGTAGATTACGTCCACAATGAGTCAAGAGGTTATCTCATCTTGCACCGGACTCGGAGGGCACCCGCGAGAAGTGTATTTTATAACTTCATGAAACAAGTTGGCCCCACGCCAATTTAACCGTTGGGCCACTACGCCAATATTACACGATTTGGTCCGAGTGAGGTAACTGTTGAAATATACTCTACTAGGCCCAATAAGACTATCCACAGGGAGGTTTTTCTCGAAATCGTTAGAAAAATAGAAATGAAAATTTTCAAAATTAACATCATTACATTTGAAATGACTCTATTGGTACACCGGGCTAGACATCAATCATCACAGCACCACAGGTGACCGGTGACCTTGTAACCTGGGTTGCGGTGTTGCCACGTTGCCAGCTTATCGGATGTTTTGCTACCTTTGAGATTTCGCTAAAACCTCATAAAAAATGCTAAATAGTTAAAGGTGATTCCAATAAATATTCACATTGATTGTGCAAGTACAATCAAAACCAGGCTGGTGGTGTTTTTGTTTTAAGCCAATCTGCATTTTTAAAAATTGTTTTAAATATTATTTCATGCCCACAATTTGTACATAAACAAAAAAAAATATTGCAGGTTTAAGATTTTCTATATGCATAAATACAGTATGTACGTAGGTATTTAGGGGTAACTCAAAAGAGTAGGTAACATACTAATATTTCAATTACATTAAAAAGTATTATGCATAATAATAAAAATAGACGTTGAAGAGATGCCCACTGGTTGAAGACGAAGATGAAGTAATATTAGTTCTAATCGGAGACGACTACGACTAATAACTATTTGATTTTCTATATTTTTATTTTGTTGTATATAAGAATTCTACAATTTTTTTTTACACTCCAGATACGAGTAGTCTTGTTGTTTCATTTTGTGGTTTTCAACTGCATTTTAGAATTTGTAGTCGGTCCTGTGGGCACTGTATTTTAATGTCGGTAATAAAAACACTATACTAAACGATTAAACACAAAATCAAATCCAAGCGAATAACCAAAATTTCTGTGTTATGTGCCGCGGTTATAATATGGTTCAAGATGACACACGGGTTGATGACGTCAGTTACACGAATCGCTTGAACGCGTTGGTTTTAACCGCGGTTTTGTTGCAAGTTGTTTATTTTAGAAAAGCGCGTATATAATCTCTGATTATTTTTATTATCACTTAATAATCGGTGCTTTTTCGTCTACAACTGTATATGGAAAGTTTAAATAAGAAACCTTCTATAATATTCATGGGAGAAATGTTTTTTCAGATTTTTTTTTAATGATGGAACCATGGCTTTGTAGCTATGATAACTTTCAATTCTCTAAATTTTTCCGCATGTTAAAGAAAACATTTATTGATTCAGCAGAAATGATGAAAAAAGAAATTAGCAAAACCGTATACAGGTGGATATCATTTAGTGAGTTTATATGGCCATATTTTAATATTCTTGTGGTATATGGCTACACAGGATACTTTGTTAAGCATTGGAACTACATTCAAAGTGTCCCCACAACCATAATGAGTATAACTAATAAGGTGCTCCACTTTATGGTAAAACTGAAGTCAGCCTGTATCATTTTTCTCAATAATGAAGCTGAAGTACATAACATAATCCAATACCCGGCAAAATTCTAACTTGTCACATTTCAAATAATAACCAGAAATATAAAACTACTCTTGAGTTGGTAAATACCACAATTTTGCGGTGATAAACTATGACATATAACAGCTGATTCATGACGTCACGGATTTATAACCAAACTGATAACTACGCTCGCTGAAACGGATCGGTAAATACCAACCCAAAATGGTAAATACCATTTCCATTTGGTTATCCGCTTGAATTTGATTATTCTTCATAAACCACCTTAAGCGAATAATCATTAATATGGAACTTACTTTCCTCTCCTTCATCTGTCAATTGTCAACGATCAAACGTCAGTGTCCATGTCAACCGGCAAACACAGGCGCGCGAATTTCAAATCTGAAATTTTCATTACTTCCATTTGATATTTTTTTACTTGGTAATTTTGTTTTTCTTTGGTTTTGATATATTTTATTTATTTGTTATATTGCCTGTGTTCCAGCTTTACGTCGATGACCTGCGACAGTTCCGGTACCCAGTTTTCTAAACCTTGAATAGGAACACCACGTTTCACTGACCGCCAATACAACCACAAATGCACATTGGAAACTGAAAATAATTTTTTAATTCTGAAGTCCGCAGAGGTGACAGATACGTTAGTAAGTCTTTATTCTACGTTTATAGTTTTATTTAGCGGCCCCTGAAACATGGAAATTCATCAGCAATTCAAGGATAAGTTTCAGATATTACTTTGAAAAACATTTTGAAACACTCAATAAGTGTAGGATAAGATCCTTTAAATGGGACAGAAAACTGGTAGGGACATATAATAGATCTACAACACATTTCCTTGTATAAGGTATAATAAAACAATATAAGTATACAAAAATAGCGATGGAATTTTTTCAAAGCAAATTAGTTCAAAAAACAGCTGAAATGATATTTGAATAAATATTTATTTCCATAGCTCATACACGCCATGGAACATTTCAACAAGTTATCACCAACGAGAAGCAATTGTTCATATATAATGTATGTAATATTATCGCATATCATTATACAACACTATAGTTTTTCAAGTATACAGTAGGATATATAATAATGTAACGGCACCCTCCAATTGAGAGTTTGGCAGTTACAAATACCGCACAACGTAAACGTTAACCTTTCTTCGTCTTCCAAATTACTATGAGCTCGTGACAATGTTTCGCCAAAAATTTAGTTTTCTGTACGTCACCATATACGATCCGATAATATAACACACTTTTAACAATTATGGTAACCTTATTCCACATTTATCAGAACCATATAGCAGGAGACGCGAGGGAAATGCTGTTCGAGCTGTAAAAACGCCTCGAAACTTGACGCCTGAAGTACCAGCGGTGCTTTTGCAGGGTTGCCATGTTGGGGGATTTTCCCCAAATTTAGGATATCACACGTTTCGCGGATAGAAAGCATGCCCCCGTTCTTTGAATCAAACCTACCCCTTTTTAATAATTAACTGATTTGGGGGATTTAAAAAAGTAGTAATTCAGAGGGATTTTTGTGCTTGTTCAGGGAAGTTTTGTCCGACCCATGTGACAACGTTGTACTTTGGCAGATTCGCCATATGAACACTACAAACGGGTTGCCATTAGTCATTGTAAATTAACTCAACTAATTTTGCTTATTTCTTGTAAATACTAATGTAAACAGTCGGAAATCTGTTGGAAATTGGTACTGTTATTTTAGCTATTTGTGAAAAACTATTGAAAAATCTCCCTTTGTGCGGTGATGAAAAAAGGAATAATGCTGAATATTTTATATACTTAGGTCCAAAATTATATCATAACTTATCAAAATCTATTAGAAAAAAAAAGATATCATTATTATTGAATACTAATATAAGAATGATGTAATTTATAAAAAACTCTCACATATATATATATATATAATATATATATATATATATACTTTCGCCTTTTGTTGGGTACTTCGACAAAATTTAAGCAAAGAGGACTCTTTATACTTTTTTAATTCTCTCTACCTTTCAATGGACTTTGCATCATCATTCAGGAGCTGCAATTACAATGATAACAGTAGCAACAAAAGTGTGAAATGAATTTAAATTGACTCAACTTACAGTAGTATGTGAGGATGTTGCTAATTGTTGTGTACGTATAGAATGAGGGAAACGTCCAGAAACATGGTGAAAGCTGAATAGATGGTACACTGGTCAAAAATTATATAAAATATGACAAGAAACAAGTTAAAAACAGATTAACTTTTTTTTAAAAAAAATGAACATTACATCGTGAAGCCACTTGATGATTGCACAAAATGGTGGTCATGGAGTAATGAGTGAGATGAACCCTTGACAGAAGGCCGAAGGTTGTCATTATTCCATGACCACCATTTTGTGCAATCATCAAGTGGCTTCACGATTGTAATGTTCATTTTTTAAAAAAATTTTAATCTATTTTTAACTTGTTTCTTGTCATATTTTATATAATTTTTGACCAGTGTACTATCTATCCAGCTTTCACCATGTTACTGGACGTTTCCCTCATTCTATACGTACACAACAATTAGCAACATCCTCACATACTACTGTTAAGTGAGTCAATTTTAAATTCATTTCACACTTTTGTTGCTACTGTTATCATTTGTAATTGCAGCTCCTGATGATGGATGGCAAAGTCCATGAAAGCTAGAGAGAATTAAAAAAGTATAAAGAGTCCTCTTTGCTTAAATTTTGTCGAAGTACCCAACAAAAGGCGGAAGCTGTAATTTTTCACCTAACTGGTCTAGACGACAATGACCACGGTCTCAAGTTTTATATATATATATATATATATATAACTGATGTGTTATATATATATATATCTTTTCGCATTGCTGATCCACGATACAAATCAAACGTATTACATTTATATTGTATACATTTTTAGTAGAATCAATTTTTTTACAATTTTGATCACTTACTAGTAATTTGAATTTCTCTTATTGATATACAGTACCGATTCCTAGGCCAAACCCTTTTTAATGATTTTCTTTTAACAAATTTCATAGTTTATTGATTGTATAATTTCAAACGTCTTATATCCCACGCCTTTTTTTTCTAAACAAGAGGAAATTGTGGTGTGATTCCTCTTTTCTTTTTAATTAATTAATTAATAAATGAATAAAACAACTATACTGAGTCGCTGAGAAAGATATAATACGTGTGAAATTATACAATCAATAAACTATGAAATTTGCCAAAAGAAAATCATTAAAAAGGGTTCGGCCTAGGAATCGGGTACTCTATAATTAATAAGGAGAAACTTAAATTACTAGAACGTGATCAAAATAGTAAAAAAAAAGTTCGTGATTTTGGCATTTTGACAATGTTATGTGTGATATTTCCTTTTGGGGCATATCAATTTATTCACAATTTATGAATGATGTGAATAAATATTATTATACCCATTTTAATTTGAGCACTTATTTGGTGTAATAAACTAATGCATGTCAAAGTCAGGTTCATCATTTATGTTTTATTATATTCTTGATAAGAACTCGGCAGATTCGTCGAACATGGCCAAGATAGAATTAAGAATAAGAAACTTCATTTCACTATGTGGGTACTAAAGAGACCAGACAGATTTTCAGCAATATAAAAAAAACGATTATTACCATTTTGTAATATAAAAGGAATTTAGGTAACCCTGTAACAGTAAAGGTGTTATTATTAAACTAGCATGTTATTGTGGTTTTCATTTTTGCCATATAATAGGAAATCATTTTTTGCATATTATTATTTCAAAAGGGCCCATTTAAGGAATATGCATGCTGACCAAATTCGCGTCGGAATTTTTTAAACAAATTCCAAAAATTGCTTTTTTCGATGTGTCGATGAACAAAAAAAATTATTTAGAACTTTTCTCTAAAGTTGATCGTTTCGAGATATAAGCAATACGATATTTCGACCCAGAAACACAGTATGAAAAAACGAAAACTTTAAAGTTACCAGTGTTTCTGAAAATTCTTGTTAATGATTAATATTTGAACCATTTCTCAATCATTCTATCTTTAGTATTGCTACAGGAACAAGTTTCATTTATGATGGAAAACATCTAGTCCGCTCCGCATTCTGGTGAATGCCAATAAAGTTAACGTTAACGTACGCGGCATTTATATTATCTGATGTCATACGTAAGAACTATAAATCCCAAGTTTATGAGAATATATTTTATTTTCGTGTCCTAGAAATATCCCCAGTTTTCTGTACCTGAATACCAGGATGCCATTACATTTGTTTTCATCTATTATTTCAGGACAACTTACAGTTCTATAATTACAAAAGTAGCTCTTTATATACAATGTAAATTTTAATATCGCCCCCGACAAAAAATTACAACATCGATTATATCCCAATGGACTTTAGTCCTTTCAACAAAATGCAATGTCATAAACAACATAATATGTATATGTAATTATCCCAGTCAATGAAAAATCATTACAACGGGATTTCACTGCGTTGTCAATAACGAACATTCGAGATGTATTATTTTTAAGCCTGAATCCACTTAATTCAAACAGTTTCTAAAATAGCTAGTTTCTAACGTCAAATGTCAAACCTAGTCATATGTTTCACTAGAGAGGTTTTCCACTGACTGGTTCGAAACAATTACAAATCACTACGAGCAACGCTATGCTGTTACAATTACAAAAATCTTAGGTCCATCTTACAGCTTATCTATATTCAATAACATATTATATATAACACACACTGCGCTCAATAGATTCGTATACAAAAGTATCTATGTATAAGACGTTATCACGAGTACATATGATAACTGTTGCATTTTATGCTTACACTTTCTATAAGTACCCAGGAACTGAAACAAATACACAATGTTAATGATGTACGGGGGCGGTTCAGTAAGTACCCGAGTTTGACGATGTGCTGCCATATATCAGGACGACGGCACATCAAATTTCAGACTGATTGATAGGTTAGTTTGGATTTGGTAGCCACTCGAGTAACCGTGTTTTGCGATGTTCGCTAATATGGACAAAGAGCAGTATCGTTCGGTAATTCGCTTTTTGTTTTTGGAGATAAAAGCAAAGTTGTATGCTGTTTATGGGGCACTTCGCCATCTATGACCACAGGTAGATATTGGTTCAACGAATTTAAGCGTGGGCGAACATCCGTTTTGATGAGGAGCGACCAGAACGCCTGGCAGTCGTGGTTACCGAGGAAATCATTCAAAAAGTCCACGACATGATTCTCGCTGATAGACGAACGAAAGTGCAAAGGCCGTAGGTGTGTCGACCGGAATGGCATCAATATTTTACATGATAAGTTGGCTATGAAAAAAATGTTCGACCCGAAGGGTTGCCGCGATTGCTCACGGTGGACAACAAGCAACTAAGCGAGAATCAAAACAATGGATATCTCTCGGTGAATCTGCTCCAAAGAAGGCGAAGACGGTCCCATCGGCCTGAAAGTCAAGGCGATGATTTTTTGAGATGCGAACGGCGTCGTCCTCGTCGATTTTTTAGAAAAAGGAAAAACGATCACTGGAAAATACGAGGGATGTCTTTTAAGTTTTGCATATAGAAACATAGTAGGCCGCGCGGATCGAACGTCAGTACTGAATCTTAACCTCACTTTTTAGTAAACTTAAATTCAAAGTTTCACAACAATACTATACTACAGTCAATTTTTAAGTGTCGCCAAGTCATTAGAAAAATGGAACTCAACCGAGAACATTTTCGCGCCATAATTTATTACAACTTTCAGAGGACAATTATCGCAACAAGAATGCCTTGCTGAGTTACTCCAACTACCACGAAGGTCTAAGGCCTAAACACCCATTGGGTACCGTGGGGCTATAGGGGATACAGGGGAAAGGGGGAACGCCACACGGACTCTGGCGAGGGAACACGTGGGCATGCAACATGCACACATTCTGGGTCCGCCTACGAGATCCGCCGGGTTGGTACCTCCACGTTCGACAGTCAGAGACCGTCTACCACCTACGGACAATCACAACATCCATAGCAAAGAGAAAAATTTCTCCTGGGACGGGACTCGAACCCGCACAGCATACGGCGACTGATCAGGAGAGCGAAGAGTCTACTACTGCGGCCACCGCTGCTGCCTAAATATGAAGTAGTAATAAAGTACGTAGCTAAGTCTCCAGGGGTAAATCTTTCAGTGACTGCAGGAGGAAAGGTTATTTAAGAAGAGTCTGGAAGTGGCTCCTATGTGAAATGTACGGTTTCACTTGTTTTGAATCGATTTTTCCAGAACATCTCGTAACCCACAAACGATTTTTATAAAATTTGTTGAGATTCTGCAGATAGAGTCGTATCGACAACCTGAATCTTCATCGCTGCATTTTAAACGCCCTAAATTTCATGTATCTTCAATTCCGGAAAACTCAAACAATGTGTGTACAGCATTGTAGTGGTGATGAGTCGTGGATTTACTGTTATGAATCAGAAAATAAACGACAGTCGGCTGTTTGGGTGTTACAAGGTGAAGAGAAAGCCAAACAAAAGTGGGTCATATTGCAACAATTCCTCTTAATGAGCAAAGAACGTTACTGCGGATTGGTATACCACCATTTGTTTGCCAAAAGTCATTACCGAGCTTCGAAAAATCAACCCCGAAGAAAGAATCATCCTCCACCAAGACCAATGCAAGCTCGCATACAGCCCAAAAGACAAGGCAGTATTTAACGGAAGAAAAACGTGGAATTATTAGACCATCCTCCATATAGTCCCGATCTAAGTCCTAACGATTTCTTTACTTCCCGAAAATTAAAAACAGACTGCGTGGTCAGAGGTTCCAGTCACCAGAAGAAGAGGTTGACGCATTCAAAAATGCCGTTTTGGATCGGCCAGCAAACTGGTGGAATAAGTGCTTCGAAAATTGGTTCAAGCGCATGCAGATGGTATTAATCTTCGTGGAGAATACTTCGAAAAACAATAAAGTCATTTAAAATCTATACACTTACAGTGTTGTTTTATTTCCATATGCAAAACTTAATAAGACATCCTTGTTACTATAGTGAGTTATTGGACCGCTTCGACACGGCCACATTTGACGAAAAAGAATGTGCTGTTCACCACGATAACGAACCAGCACATTTGTCCGGAGTTGTCGCCGCCAAACTGCATGAATTGCGTTATGAAGTGCTGCCGCACCTCCGTATTCACCCGATCTGGCCCCCTGCGACTTTTTTCTGTTCCCTGACATGAAGAAATGGTTCGCGGGGAAAAATTTAGCTCAACCGAGGAAGTCATCGCCGAGACAGAGGCGTATTGTTGGAGAGTTCGACAAATCCTATTTTTTGGGGAGAATTAAAAACACTGGCAGGAACTTTGGGAAAAGAGTATCTTTCTAAAAGGGGATTATATGAAAAATAACAGGGTACGTATTGAACCGCACTCGTATAAGAGTTTTTGGGACAGAAAAAAGTATCAGAATATCCATACAGGTAGGGCCTGATGATATACCGCCTATATACAGGGTGTTCGAAAAATAGACGGAGATATTTCAAAAATATGAAGAAAAGAACGTGGGTCCGGAAATGCAGAATTTTCAACAGGGTGATAAATTAAAAAGAAATTATTAATTTTACTTGATTCTGTTGAAATTTGGCATTATTATTTGTTGTATTAAGAAGCTAATTTAGTCCTGAACAGATTACAATTATTAGGTCCAGTGGCGTCCCGTGGGGCACTTTGGCGGATATTATTGACAAAAAAGGAAGCCACTGATTTTTTGGAACTTTATTATTTGTTGTTTGATCAAGCATCTAAAAATACCACTTCCTTGCCTCTCACTTCGTTTTCGAAAAAAAAAATAAAATACATTTTATTGCATGTCACTGGACAAGATAGGTTTATTAATTTTTGCTAAAAAATTACAAGTGCATTGGAAAACTAAAAATCTAACAAAAATGTATAGGAAAGTTTTTAATCCATTTTCCCAACCAATTTAACAATTTGACCCGTTCCAGAACTAGAACAACAGCCCAAGCCATTGATGCTTGCCTCCACCGTGCTTAACATGTGGCAACTTTTTTGATTTTTTTTTTTTATATCGAAGCAGCCGCTGAGGCAGAAGCCTAAATGCCGGGACACCCAAAGAAATGTTGTTAATACGATTTTTAAACTCCTTAGGTTAATAGAACTCCTCTTGTAGATTGTTCCACAATCTCGACACCCTCGCGACAAAGGAGCGGTCGTATCGGCCAGGTTGTATTGGGCGTCTCACATATGTCGTACCGTCAGAACCCAAACAAGTTGAATTTGCTTCCATTCGCACCATAAACCCGTATTCCATTGTTGTTCTGCCAAGTTAAATGAGTTTTACAAATTCCAAGCCGAGCAATACGATTTTTTTTAAATGAAAGGCTTTTGCACTGGACGCCAAAAAAGCCCAAAATCACCAAGCGTCTCTGCATTGTTCTCAGCACCCTCTTCTACGATTCTTTTGAAAATCCGGGTGGCTGACATTCGAGGATCTTCACGGGACAAACGTTAAATCCAAAAGATAATCGCTTGTTTTTCGGTCTTCCGCACCTGGGCCGCATTGCTGTTGATCCGTATTCTTGATATTTACTAATAATTTTCGAAATCGTCCTTTTGTTCATTTTTAATCTTTGAGAAATGTTAACATTTCTGACACCACTCTAGATAATTCAATTGCTTTGTCTCTTAAATCTTTTGAAAATTCTTTTAACTTTGCCAGTTTCACCGATGTCGATATTTACCGCACCAAAATATCAAGAGTATCGCATAACGAATAAATACGGCAAACTGAAATGTTTCCATACTTTTGTCGTTACAAAAACTAATGGATTTAAAAAAACGCGTGTTTTTATTTTCAGACCAATTTGAATATCAATAAGATAAACCTTGTATTAGCACGGGAGTCAAAGTAGACTTTAATATTTACATCTGTTCTTTCACAATTTTAATTTAGGTATATGGTAATGTTAATATTTGTTTCCAAACTTTTCTCCGCTACTGTAACAAAACACCAGGAGCTTATTTTTTTGTGAACAAACTATTGATATTTCGTCGAAATAAAAATCCCGAAAACACCCTATATGGCTCACCTGTTGAGTGACCGGCAGGTCGGCCAAGGACGCTGACTACGTCACTGCATAGGCGCGACGCTGGTCAAGCTGCCTGCTCCCGCAGCGCTAGCCGCCCCTGTCGCGCCTCCGCTGCTCACAATGCCGATGAGCTGCCCAGCGTAGATGACAGGTCCTGTAACCGTTGAAAAACATTTCACTTATTCCCGTCGATTCGTTTACGCACATCTAAGAGTCAGATTTATAGACTTTCCTTGAGGCACATTAGACTGTTACAGTGGTCATCAGAGCCAGAAAGATTTTTCTGTGATGGCCCTATCTATTTAACAATGGGACACATTGGTTTATTTGTGCTGAATATCGATAAACACTGCAATAATAATAAGTGTTTAGTTCATCGAAGTACAGCGAAGTAAAACCTGAAAATCTATAGGGAAATAACAATTAACCAAATTTCAAGCTGGATTCAGGAAGAAACACTCAACCAACTGAAACGGCAACAAGTGGTTTTAGAGGACTGAAGAGATGTATGGACGATAAATAGAAAACATACAGTAGCAGTGTTTTTGGACTTCATAAGGGCGTTTGAGACTCGTGACAGGGATAACTTACTTACAAAATTGCATCACTACGGTAGTTAAAGGATCTGTCTTCAAAATTCTTAGTAGTAGTATTAATTCACAGAAGTCAAAACACCAAAATTGGATCTACGTTATCAAGATCAAAAAATATTTCTGTTGGTATACCACACGGTAGCAACTAGGTCCACTACTATTTATTTTATTACATTAATGACATTTGTAATATTTTAGATTATTTTAAACTTCAGATATTTGCCGCGATACATTAATACTACATATCAGATGAAAAGATAGGACATTGCTTTAAAATGCTCATTTCTAACTTGGCAAAAATCGTAAATGGTTAAATGTAAATAAACTAAAACTGCATACTTCTAAAACAAAATGTATGCTAATAGGGAAAATACCTAATTGAAAAAAAATTATCACAGTTAGGGTAAATGGAAGAAATAATTGAAAATGTTGAATCAATTAAATAGTTAGGTAATATATTGATGTAAACTAAAGTTTGAGGATCACTATGAATACATTATTTCAAAAATTGCCAAAAAAACAAATTACTTTATATGGTAACTATTCCAAGAAAATAGTTATAATACAATTATTCTACCGCATTTACTACATTGTTCAACTATCTTGTTCATGCCAATGAAGCTTGTATTCTCAAACATTACAAGTATTGCCAAATAAAGCTATGAGATAATATTGAATAAAAATAAGTACAACAAAATAAAATCTATGTTACAAGAATTGCAATGGACAAATATCACAATTTTACTATCATATTGGTTCTATTTTATATGAAAATGAAAAATAACCTTTTGCCAGAACATTTAGAACACTACATAGAGTTGACTAATCATTACCACAATTATTATACAAGAGGAAATACAGATTTCATTTACAAAATTGCAATAGCAATATAACTAGCAAATCAATATTTCAGAAAGGATTACTGAATTTAATAACACTAATAATGATAATAAAGTCTATTTGTATTTAAATATATTTAAAAGAAAATTAAGGAATATTTCATGGACAATGAAAATTCTTAGAGATGCAAATTTTGTTTTTTTTTTCCTGACTCTCAGTATGCTATGTAAATTATTTAGTTTTGTAGAAGAATGTAATTGTAGCAATCATGCTAAATAAATCTTAAAACAAAACTATCTATTTAACATTGGGACACTTTACACTGGTTTATTTCTGATAAATATCAATAAACCATGCAAAAAATAATGTATTTGTTCCATTGATTTACAGCGCAATCACAAAGAAGTAAAAACCTGAATATGTATAGGCAACCAGTTGCACCAAACTGCTCTACTGATTGCAGGTTGTCGATTACGTCTGTCAGATTCAGCGAAAGTACTCGTTCAAATTCAAATATTTTGTAATCTCTAAAATTTAATAAACCGTCGACGGATCATGTGTGACAGCGAATATAAAAATAAGTTTAGCTAGGCAGAGATGTATCTGATTGATATATTGGAAAATTTAAATTTATCTTTGGAGATAAGAAATAATTATATATATATATATACAGGGTGGCTTCGAAGTTGAGTCATTTATCTTAACAGTGAGTAGATCTGATCAAAAGAAATGTTTTTTTTCTTTACCATTTTTCTGGTAAAATTAAAGTAACAAAGTTATAGCCCTTTGGAAGTTTGAGTACCGCCCTGTCTCAATAATAATATCATGTGCTCGTGTTTGGCAACAACGGATATAATCCGCCTTATCGGTTCATCGCATCGGAAACAAAAAAGCGAAAGAATTTGGAAAGATGTTTTTACAATTATTTTATTCAGTTGTATACAGTCAGTGTCAGTCGGTAACGCGTGAGTGAATAGTGGTGTCTGTTGCGTGGCTCAAACGAAATAAAACATGGCACATGTTTATGCGGATCGGTTTCCCAATCGAGTGCAACCAACCCCTCGTGCCTTTGTTAATGTAGTACAACGGGCTCGTGAATCAGGTGACTTAAGACCTCACAGGGGACCTCACGATCAAATACAGGTCCGCACTGAAATACTTGTCGGGAGGATACTTTATAAAACAAGGTAAATTTTTTTTTTTTTTACACACATATTTTGGTTTATCTTCCTTCTAGAATCAACAAAGTCACTCTGTATATATATATAAATGAATCCGTATTTCGCATGGTCACCCCATAACCTGAGAACAACTTTACCGATTTCATCTTTTTTTTAATTTCCTAATGTTGTATAGAAGGCGAAGAAGAGTGCCTGTCTCTTTTGGTACTTGAGATATTTCTTCTGCTGTGAGTGCTCCATGTTCAAGCAAACTGTCAAATGCGCGTAGCTTAAATAATCATTAAGTTTTCAATGATTTCGCAATTTTCTGCACAATTTTCTTGGTTTTTCTTCACCTTCTCCACCTTCTATACAGCATTAGGAAACTTAAAAAAAAAGATAAATGAAATCGGTACAGTTGTTCTCAGGTTATGGCGTGACCATGCGAAATAAGGATTCATTTATATATATATATAACTCAAATACCTTTCTTCAACGAAAACGTTTTTAAAAAAGATTTATTTTTGAGAATAACCAAATACAATGATGTTAATTGAATGAGTTCTGAATCGAGACTGACTGCAAAGTTCATTATACAAACCAAAGTAAAGAACAAATGAAATACAATACTGAAACTGATAAGAAAGGAACGTGGAGGCAAAAGTCCTTGTTCAGCATATTCTTCTCTATAGACTGGTACATAACTTATATATATAGAAAGTGTCAGTATTTTGCGTCCTATCATTCACATTAAGTGACTTTTTTTCCTAGCAGTTGAGGACAATCAATGTGACCATTGACAATTTTGCGCAAGTAAGTCAAATTCCGACCGGCGTCGTACAAGGGAAGTCGTATTCATCTAGAGAAGAGTATCAGGATGACTATACTTCTCCCCGATAAAACTCACTCACAGATTCTCAAAAAATTGTTTTGCATACGCTTGATTGACCTGCAAGTTTATATTTGGGATGAGATAGAGCAGAAATACTCAAGTAACAAACGAACCAAAGAATAATTAGCAAGTCCTTGATCTGGTCTGATTTGCAAAGATCTATCATTGATGCTATAGGAGTAAGTAATAGGAGGATGAGACCCACTAAATGTAACTTTGAAAGGGTTCACGTCGTTTAAAACTAAAACATTAACTCCACCACCAATGAGAAACATGGTCGAAGTCTCTTTGCAGCAATTCAGCATCATGTTTGTTCCCAATAACTATAAAAATCATCCGCAAATAAAAGATTTTGACTGCGTCCGAACTCACAAGGTCATTAATAAATATATTAAATAACAAGGGACCTAAGTGGGAACCCTGCGGGACTCCAGATTATTAGATGTTCACCCACTATCTGATAATTAACAGCTTATACTATTCAAGATCTGTACGAGAGTTATTGTTTACTGTCAAAGCTTACCTGGAAACTAAATTGAGGGAAATAAGGCTCTTCCTGTATGGAGCCCAGTAATCTGTTGCTGTCAGGTGGGGTCAATTCCACACTTTCTCCAGTAAACTCTGAGTCGAAATACCGAGTGTCTGTATCACTACACACTTGGGGTTTGAATGGCGGAGGAATCTAGAGAGATACAAAAAACTCGTGAAAATCTCAAAAATTTTTTTATTTCTTTAACTCAGATAGTAGATTATAGCAGATGCTGAGATTTTGGCAGTTCTAACACTTGAGGATGACAGGCAAAGTGGACAATCTGACGTTCTTTCTTTTCAAATTGGGGCCTAGCGAATAGTATTGAAGAAAGTCAATTTTATGTTACTAAGATATTTGGGTATACGAAAGTTAGGAACCTAATGGGGACGTTAGTTTGAGTACCTTTTTTTGTTCCAAATCTCTCCAATTGATGCTGCTGAAGAAAGAATGGACCATTATCTGTTTGGCATCTTCGGGACCGCCGCCTAATCTCTTAGCGGGATCTTTCACCAGTAGTCCTCCGAGCAAGTCTTTAGCGTCGTTACTCAATTGCCTTGGAAATTTCACTTCTTCCATCAGGATCAAAGTGAAAAGCACGTCGTGGTCCTTGTTGTAAAATGGAAGTCGGCCGCACATCTGGAAATGCCAGCGAGACATTGTACGGAAGGCGTCTCAAATGTTACAAGGAAATCCGCGACTGGCTCTGGTGTACTCAAGCGTGTTTCAATAAGAGCGCCGCAATTTCTTTTTGAATTAAGCGAGTATTTATATTTCAAGATAAAGAGGAATAAACGTGAAATAGGACATCTGGTAAATGGCCACCACGAAACCTCTGGCACAAGGTCAGTCTTTTCTAAAAATTCTGGATAACGTTTTCGCTCAAATGTGGCTCTATTTCGTCGGTAACGTGCCGTATCTCTTCTTTAAGGCGTTCAACTGTTTTTGGCTTGTTCTCATACAGGAAGAAGTCCATTGGCGTTAGATCGAACGATCTTGGTGGCCAATTTTGATCGCCAAACCGAGAGATGACACGGTCTGAAAACTTGGTCCGTAGTAACACGATTTTTTCGCGTGTTGTGGCAGGTCGCACCGTCTTGTGGGAAGAACACATCCTCCACATCAATTCGATCCAACTGGGACCACAAAAAATCGGTTTAAATTCCAATTTTTTCCAAAATTATCAAATTTTCGAATTATTTTACAAATTTCGTATTTTCCAAATTTTTCGAAACCAAATCTTTATGCAAATTTCAACATTCAGATTAAAAAAAATTAAATTCGAATTTGTTTTCAACCTCAAAATAGAGCGCTGACACGAAACAGTAGCCTAATTAACTGGAAATAAGATCAATATAAAAATTAGGATATCATATTTGACAATAATTTTTTACCTTTTAGTTCGATTAGCTATTATAACGGGTGATTTTTTAAGAGGTATAGGGTTTGATTTTCAAAAAAAAAACACAAAAAATTTGAAAAAACGATTAAATCTTTATTTGAGTCGATAGAACGGGTGAAAGATTTAATGTTTAAAGATTATTCCATGTAAATGTTGGCCGCGGCTCCGCTTTAGATGGCCCATGCGCAAGGTCTAATTTTGGCACACTCTCTCGAACATATCGGCCGGTATCTCACGAATAAATGCTTCAATATTGGCTTCCAGTGCGTGAATCATTGCTGGTTTATCCCTGTAGACATTAGCCTTAACATGGCTTCACAAGAAATAGTCCAACGGCGTTAAATCACACGATCTAGGCGGCCAGCGCCCATTCATTCACGAAATTGGAAACGTTGTGGGAGGTCGTGTGGCTTCAATTCTTGCACCAGCTGTATCTTATAAGGTTTTACACCCAAATCCTGTCGCAAAATTTTCCACGTAGTGGAGTAACAGTGGCCCAATCGCTGCGAACGGCGGCGAATCGACATTTCACGGTCATCACTAACACTGGCGGATACAGCCGCAATATTTTCTTCAGTCCTCACTCTATGTCTGCGTGTTGGTGGTTTAATGTCCAATAATGTAAACTGGGTTCGAAATTTAGTCACAAGCTTCTGAATAGCTCCCTCAGTAGGTTAAATGGTTAAGTGGTTAAATTATAGACCAAACTGAACAAGTTTGACAACGACACAGACACGATTTACGCGTCATCTGTCAAAAAGATACTAGCAAAAAAATCACCCATTAGAAGTATAGACATTGTTTTTGCGGGTGAAGCATTGATTTTAACAAAATGAATAAAGAAATGACCCAATGCATTTTTAGATAAACTTGTCGGACTATATTTTACACAATGAAGCGATTCATTAT